CTCACAGGCCAACACTGCTGATGTTTTCACCAAGGCACTTCAGCCTTGTGATCATCAGCGTTTCTGTACTGTTCTAGGCCTTGTACCTATTGTGCCTCACTTGCTTACTTCTTGACTCTGCTTGTACTGTACTCTATATACATATACCTGCATGCTTACACTTGCTAGGTTGAGTTCACTGTATTGTTTGTTTTCCTTTATATAACTCTGCGTGTGAACTGGCCTTGTGGCCATTTGCTTGTGCTCAGACTGCGTGGTGACTTTGTGATCCACCCTGAGCTTGCTTTGCCTTTCTTGACCGGTCTTGTGACCTCTTGTTCTCCCCCACTTTGCCTATGGGGGTGTGTCAAACTTATATTCTATAGTCTGTTTAGGCTGTAGTGGGGTAGTCCTTATAGGGTACAACACTTTTAGGTTTGCTACTTGTACCCACCTGCTTCCTGGTTCAATAATTCCATTCGCCTACATTCTAACAGGGAGCCCCCGTCGGTTGCCACGATTGCTGCCCGTCATGGCAGATGCACACCGTCGAGTGTCCGTTGACAATTGCCGTTGACATTTTGGCTCGACGAATGGGTTGACCGCTGACATGCATCATATGCAATGCGATGAGCCGCAGATGGATTAAACGACAAAATGAATGCGCTGGCAGCGACTTCAAGCGCCGCACGTTGATCGTGTTACCCGTTTCGTTCGGGACAGAGTCTGCGAGACGAGCAGCTTTTTGCTCTAGACCTAGGGAAAAAAGAGGTGAACTTGTGGCGGAACGTGAGAGCCAGAGCTACGAGGAATGGACTTCTTCGAGTTGAGTGGGGTAAGACGGGGAAGATATTTCTGGAAATGTGGCGACAGGGAACACGATAAGGAGGAGAGAGAGAAGATGTGGGAGGACGAGATGGAGGATCTGGATGAAGGATTTGAGCGGGAAAAATAAAGATCGGTTGAGATGGTTGGAAGGTGGCGTTGGAACAAGTGAAGTGAAGTGATAGTGGGTGGGGGATGCGGGGCAGGCGAGTGAGGTGTGGAAGGGTGGTAGGTTGGGGTGCTAACTTCTTAACACAATATGGTACTATTCGGTATTCTACAAGGGGAGGATAGCTCGTAACGAGGAAAAATGCGCGTGACGAGGGGAGGAGAGCGCGCAACGAGGGGAAGCGCGTGTGACGAGGGGAGGAGAGCGCGCAACGAGGGGAAGCGCGCGTGACGAGAAGGCACGTGCGCGACGCAGCGGAAATGCGCGTGACGAAGGGAATCGCGCGTGACGAAGGGTGGCGCATGACGAAGGGAAGCACGTAATCCCGGGCAGGCACGAGTGAATAGGGCAGGTGCGAGTGACGAGGGTAGGCGCGAGTGACGAGGACATGCGCAGGTGGCGAGGGAGAGCGCGGATGACGTCGCGCGCTAAACGTGGGGTAGCATTGTGAAGCACTCGTTTGTGACTCACGTTCCGACGAATATATCTTAGCGGACAAGCGAGTCCGCCCGGGGGAGCTCGCTGCCCGCGGGCAAAAAAAATAAAACCCATTCGGGCATGCATCCGGTCAGGGAGGCATCAACCCTAAACACAGGGAGGCATGGATTTAGGGTTAATGCCTCTCTCGGATGGCATGCCATCCGATAGGGGTTTAGTTTTTTTCTGCCCGGGGCAGCATGTCGTCAAGTCGTCAACAGGTCGTCAGGCTTGACGACCCGTTTCCGCTGGGATATTCCGTGTGAGTAACGCTAAAATGTATGTAAATATCGTGTGTGACACTAGGCTTGTGCTGTCCAGCTATTGGCGAGACAGCATGAGTGACGCCAGTTGCTGTTAAAAACGCGGCCAGGGGAACTAGCTGATGCCGCACTGGCTTTCTACTTACGCGAGGGACTAGGCCAATCATAAGTACTGCTAGGTGTTCAAGATACGGTATGTGAGAGCCAAACAGTGGGCCAACCTGAGCGACGTTCGGTTCTGTTTTGCGATTGTGCACAAAAGCCAAAGAGCAGAGAGTGTCGCTAGGCGTTGTCCCAGAGTCGCGAGTGTTTCCTCAAACAAAGTAGGGTAACCCTGTTTTTTACGATTTCAAGTTCAAGGATCTTGAACTTGAAAATAACCATGCTGTACTCGGGCTTTAAGCTCCCCATATGAAACAATTCTACAGAAAATTTCACTCATTTCAAAATTCAGCCATTTTTCTAAGCATTATTGGATAAGGCAGCATACTTGTTCACATCCTTACACTGGTATTACCCTACAATAATGCTTTCCGAATTGCAACTTGACATCCCAACAAGAAGCTCCGTGTTGCCTGAACACTCCTTGTTACGTCAACCCAGACGAAAGTCCGGAAAAGCTTCACACGAGTGAAACCGCCTCACTCGCACCACTTTGTTGAATGAGACCTGCTTTTTCAGCTTGCCGCTCCCTCCCAACCCACTCCCACTCCCACTCCCACTTCCACTTCACATCCACCAGCGATAAACACGACTTTACATGACTCTTAGGAGGAAACGGGCTTTCTGTTTCTGCCGACTCACCTTCCTCCACCACGAATACACCCGACCTGACAGGATTCTTAGGCGTACCGGACCGTGTGCCTCCTAGTGTGAATAACAGCCCATCGAGACTCTCGGTTGGTGCGCCTTTTAGAGGGATGGAGCCTTCACTACGCGACCTTGCAAAGTGCCTCGTGTCTTGGTCCATTCTTATCGAATGGTGCGCATCTTGGTGCATCCCTGTTAACCGCTGTGTAACGTGTCCCACTCTCGTCAAGTGATGTGCAACTTCCTCCACTCTCGGACTGCGTAGGACCAAGAGAGGCCTGAGCAGTGAAGAATAGGCACGGGGCAGACCTCCCTCTCTCCGCCCATCACCACCACCAACGCCCTCTCTCCCTCCCTGCTTTAAGTGCAGATTCCCTTCTTGGAGAGCCTCAGAGACAGATTCAGGGCAGCCAGGGTTGTCCCCTTTTCCTTCATTAGACCCAGCCCTCCGGCTTGAGACTACCCCCCCTGCTGTCTCCAACCGCTCCCCTCCTGGATTGTCAACAGAGTAGGAGGCCCCTCGTGTGGGGAAGCGCGGGGGCTTGGACGGGGAGACGGACGGGGGATAGGGGGAGGAGATAGGGAGGGTGGGGGAGGAGATGGGGAGGGCGGGGCAGGGGAAAGTGGGCGAATGGCAGGGGGAGGCGGGGGACTGGGAGGAAGAGGTTGCCGGGTCTGGTTGACTTGGGTGTATGGTAAGGGGAGGAGGGCGGGGGAAATGGGATGGGGAAGGCTTGTGTTGGCGAGTTGGTGTTGTGCTGCCAGCGAACGATTCCGGATCTTCCCCTCCAACTGTTCGGTTCGCCAACTGTTTTCCCCCTAGGTGACTGCTTCCCCACAAACCGTGTCCACCCAAACTGCTTCTCTGAAAAAACTCCCCTTGCTGCGCCTTGTGCGCCTTCCCGCTGCACCGGCTGCGCCGTCACAGCTCCCTCATCGTTATCGTTACAATCATCTTTGTCCCAATCGACTTCATCATATTCGCGCTGGTTATTTTTTTTAGGCGCCTCAGAAATAAGCTCTTTGTCATAGTCGCCCCTGTCATTGTCGAGATGGTTATCGTGACGGACGGTTGTGTTGCGGACAAGGGTAGCGGTAGTGGCGCGGGGATTCGTGAAGCGAGGCGAGACGGAAAAGTTTCCGAAGGAAGGGGATGAGGCGGGGAAAGCGCGAGGGGACGTGGCGGGGAAAGCGCGAGGGGCGTCGCGTTCTACAGTGGACCATGCTCTCCGGACGGCGCGGTTGCTCTGAGGCGCGGCGCTGTACATACTATTAGAGCCCGCCCCTTCGAGAACCTCGAAATCCTCAAATCTTTCAGTATTCTCGAGATTCTCAAAGGCCACGAAATCGCGTTCCGTCGCCGACGCTGCTCTGCGGGCTGTTGTAGAGGCGTCTCCTCTACTTTGCAGGAACTCTAAGTTGCACTAAACGATAGAGCACAGTCTTGGCTTTCCAACAAGCCGTCAAACACGTTAATCGCCCAAGTATACGCCGAGATATTGGCGTTCACGTGATTGCTAGTGCTCTTAGAAGCAAGGATAGACCTCTCTGGAATTTTGGTTCGAATGGACCATGTACAAGAAGATTCAGGATTTCAGTATAAAGCATGCATACAAGGCAGGTCGATTTATAGCAAATGCATTACATCGAACCGCACATGTAACATCACATCGCTACACTCGCGTCGCGAATGCGCCGCGTGTAACATTTCGGTTGGGGTGAAATTCGACCACCGAATTTCACACCGAACACACCGAATTCGCCTTGCACTTGAAGGTTGGAATGTGGTGCCGCCACGTGGCACCGAAGGGTGAGTCTCCCGAAGTCAATCGGTGCCACCCCACCGATCCCTAGTCAAAGGGATCGAAGGCACCGAAGTGCCCTCGGTGGGTTGGGGGCATACCACCGCCCCACCACCGTTTCCTTCCAACACGGGCTGCGCGACGGTTGTGCGACGGCGGCGGACCGGGGGTGCGCTGCCTGTGGCCCGTGCGGTGATGAGGCGACGAGGTGGCGAGGAGGCGAGCGAGTCGCGGTGACGAGACGAGATGACAGGTCAGTCGAGATCGCGGGGAGGGCGCTTGACGAGGCGACGGCGATGCGGGTGGATGGGGCGCATGGGGCGGATGAGGCGACGCGGGCGGATAGCGAGGTGAAGACGCCATCATGGCGACGAGAGGAGGCGAGGCGGATGAGATCATGTTGGCGGGAGAAGAAAGCTGCTGCTGTTGCCGTTTTTGCGGAGATGCTGCTGCTTCGCCACCCGACACTTTGAATGGTGAAAGCTCTTCTCTTCCTCCTCCTCGCCCTCCCCCTCCTCCCCCTCCCCATCCTACTTCCCCTCCATCGCCAGTGTTTTCTGTCCTTCCGCTGGTGCCATTGGAGCCGTCGCCAGCGCCGCGTCGCTCATCCAAGTGCGACGCCGACCTCGACCGGCAGAAGCGGAAATGGTCGGCGGAAGCCCCGCGCACAGGCGGTCAAGCACCTGTGGCGGATCCCGTTCGAACACCTGTGGCGGAACCCGGTCGAGCACCTGTGGCGGAACCCGCGGCGCTTGTCTTCCGCGCACACGTAGCGATTTTCGCGCGCGGGCTGCGCAAGAGGCGGAAACACCCGCCGACGTCCACGCCGGAGCTGCTGTCGTCAGACCGGTAACTGCCGGCGGCGTTGCATTTCCCGACGGCGCTGCTTCCGCGGTTGCGGCGCTGCTTTCCGTGACTGAGCTTGGCACCATTGCCGCCCGAGATTGTGCGTGCGTCTTTCTTGTCGCCCGCGCCTTTCTTGCCGCCTCCGCCTGTCTTAACGCTTGCGCCTCCTGCAGCTGAGCATCCGCTGAGCGCAGACTTCGCGGAAGCCGCCACCGCCGCATCGTCGCGCCACTGCGCGTCCATCTCGAGCGACGGCGCGGCTTTCCGCCGAACAACTTCCGCGTGCGGGCTGCGCACGGCGGCGCAAGGCGGCGCCACCGTGGAAAAACTGGCTCCGCTGGGGCTTTCCTCCGGAATCACGAGATCTGCGAGATCGTACCTATTAGTAGCAGCAGTAAGAACGCGAGTGTGGCTGCTACTACCAGTAGGCTTGTTATCGTGGCGGCTACTAGCAGTACTAGGTACGACTAGCACGAGTCTGCGTGGTTTTTGTCGAACGACGTTTCCAGCCATGGCGATGCCGCTCTTCTCGGCCAGGATAAACCCTAGTCGCTCCAGGCACTGGTAGTAGCGGCACTGCTAGCCGAAGAAATGAGCCTTGAGCGTCTCAGAGTCGCGCATATCACGGGCTGTGCAACGGCTGCATGAGCTGACGGGAGTGAGGAAAAACTCCTGACTGTTCAGGCAAGTGCGCGAAGAATGGAAGTGGAATGTATATCGTTGCCGGAATATTTCTGCCTGCGTGGTTCCGCCAGAAATTCTCACGATGGACGGTGTGCCGAAGCAACTGGAGGTAAAGAGTCGACGGTAGCGGGATATACTCCGTGTACTCTGTACGTAAATGCTCGTCCCCGTCGGTTGCTGCAATTGCCATCTGTCATGGCAGCTGCTCGCCGCCTGCCCGTTGACAATTGCCGTTGACATTGTGTGGCACGACGACGGGATTGGTCGCTGACTAAGCTAACGAATGGCGTGACACATGTCATCGGATGCGATGCGCGCGCGTACAAGGAATACAGCGGCGACCTCAACGGGCCGCGCGTCGATCGTAAAAGCTGTTTTCGTTCGGGACGAATGCTGTGAAACGAGCAGCTGTTGCTACACATGTAAAGCTGATGAAAAAAGAGGTGCAATGGTGGCGGAGCGTGAGAGACAGAGCGGCAAGGAATGGACTGGTTCGAGTTGAGAGGTAAGGAAGGACGGGGAAGATGTAAATGCAGTGACAGGGAACACGATAGGGAGGAGGAAAGAAGAAAATGGCGGGACGAGATTGCGGATGTAGGATTTGAGAGAAAAGATAACGATTGATTGGGATGGGTGGGAGGTGGCGCTGGTACAGTTGTGGGGCGACGAGCAGGGGGTGCGGGGTGGGCGGGTGAGGTGTGGAAGGGGCGGTAGGTTGGGGTGATAACTTTTCAACACAATACCGTACGGTAAGGTATTCTACAAGCTACCAACTTCAAACACTTCTTTAAGCAATTTCCTCAGAAAAACAAACCGCCATTATTTTAAGCAGTTCCGTATTGGATTGCTGACATCCTTGCACAGGTATTCTTTTCGAGAGTGCAACTTGACATCTCAGCCGGAGGTTATGTATTGTTCGAACACCCCTTGTTACGTCAACCAAGGCCAAAGTCCGGAAAAGCTTCGCACGAGTGAAACCGCCTCACACGCACCACCTTGTTGAATGAGACCTGCTTCTTCAGCCTGCCTCTCCCTCCTAACCCACTCCCACTCCCGCTCTCACCCCCAAATGATAAACATGACTTCACAGGGCTCTTAGGAGGAAAGGGGCTCTCTGTTTCTGCTGAACCATGCCCATCCGCACCCCCTTCCTGCGTCCTTCCAGCTCTCCCTCCCGCCTCACCAGCAAGCCTTGCATTTGCTCCTAACAGTTCATCCGGGCTTCCGGTTTGTGTGCCTTGCAGGGGAATGCAGCCTTCACTGTGCGACCTTGTGAAGTGCCGCGTATCTTGGTCGATTCTTATGTGTTGCGACGCCCCAACATGCGACCTTGTGAAATGCCGTGAGTCTTGGTCGATTCTTTTGTGCTGAGAATGAGACGCCTCAACATGCGACCTTGTCAGGTGCCGTGAGTCCTGATCAATGCTTATCAACCGCTGTGCATCTTGGTCCATCCCTGTCAACTGTGGTTGTGCATCTTGCTCCACTCTCGGACTGCCTGGGACCAAGAGGTCGGAACACCGACGAGTGGGCCCGGGGCACAAGTCCCTCTCTTCGCCCACCACCACCCCTGCCAACCCCCTCTTCCCCCCTCCCATTTCCATACAAATCCCTTCGCCCCCAACCACCACCCCTGCCAACCCCCTCTATCCCACTCTCGTTTCCACTCAGATCCCGAAATTTCCCTTCCTGAGGCTGCCCCGAAATTTCAGAATCCACGGAAAGAAAGTTGAAGCCGCCCCTCGTTCCCCTGCCAAATCCATCCCTCAGGGTTGGGCTCTGTAGCAGCACTACCTCCCCCTCTTCCCCCAACCTCTCCCATCCTGGATTGTCAGCAGGATAAGAGGCTCCGGTGGAGGAAGAGGGGGAGATTCTGGGGGAACGCGTGGGGAAGCGGGGGGGCTTGGATGGGGAGATGGGGGGGGGATTGGGGGGAGGGTCAGTGGGGATGAGGCAGGGGAAGGTGGGGGAATGGCAGGGGAAGGTGGGGGAATGGCAGGGGGAGGCGGGGGTATGGGGGGAAGAGGTGGAAGGGTCTGATTGAGTCTGGTGTGTGGTAAGTGGAGGGGGGCGGCAGGGGAAATTGGTTGGGGAGGGCCTGTGTTGGCGGATTGGCGGAGGGGGAGGGGAAGGCAGGGGAACACGTGGTGAGGTCGGGGGGGCTAGGGTGGAGGGGGGAGCGGTGGGGGAAGGGGAGCGGGAAGGGGAGAGGGAAAACGTTGGGGAAGGGGATGTGGCAAGGGTTTTGCTTGGTGCACAGCTGCGTACGCTCCCAGGGGCGGATTTGGAACGAGTTATGGCCGAAAGGTGAGTGGCGGAAGGGGAAGTGGGGGAAGGGGGAGTGGCGGAAGGGGGAGTGGCGGAAGGGGGAGTGGCGGAAGGGAAAGTGGCTTGCTCTGTTGCGGACCGAGACCTGCGGGGCTTGCAAGGCAACCTCGCATCATACCTGCGAGAACCTGTCTCGAATGAACCTGCCTCGAGCGAACTCGCCTCAAACGCTTTGAAAGTCCGAAAATCTCGTTCGGTCACGGAGCCTGCTCTGCGGGCGGTGCGATGATTGCCACTCGTACTAACAGTCCGCTCGGCGCGCTCAGCGCGATGATTGCTAACGCCTGCTTCGAAAACCTCTAACGCATCAAATGCATTGGAATCACGCTCTGTCACGGAGCCTGCTCTACGGGCGACGCGATGATGACTGTAATGATGACTGTGCTCAGTTCGATTGCTTGCGCTTGCTTCCGAACCCTCTAACGCTTTTAAGGTCTTGAACTCGCGCTCCGACACAGACGCAGATCTACGGGCGGCGCGCTGATGACTGATATGAGGACTCGGCGAATGCGGGGGACCAGGGGGACCAGAGGAGGCACGCGAAGAGGAGGAGAAGAGGAGTTGGTTCAATCGAGGCGACGAGGCGACATGACGGGTCAGCCCAGGCCGCGGGGACGGCGCATGGCGCGGCGAGGGCGTCGCGGGCGGATGCGGCGTATGGGGCGGATGGGGGGAATGGGGATGGGTGGAATGAGGCGGATGGGGGGAATGGGGATGGGGGGAATGGGGCGGATGGGGGGAATGGGGCGGATGGCGCGGAGAAGAGTTTTGCTGCTGCTGAGGCTGCTGAGGAGCCTCGATATACACGCGCGGACGGCGAGGGGACGACGCGTCGGCGGCGGGGAACTGATTCGAGGCGGAAGAGCTACGGGCGGCACTGGGGGAAGCGCCGGGGGAAGAGAGGGAAGGCTTTTGCCGAGCCGACAGCGCGACTGCTGCCGTTGTTGCTGCTTCGCCAGTGATTTTACAACCGCCGGTGCCGCCGCCGCTACTACTACTACCATCGCCCGCGCCAGCGCTTTTGTCATTGCTCCTGCTGCTGCTGTTGCTTCTGCCGCTACCGCCCTCGCTACTGCTATAACCGTCATCGCCAGTGCGGCTCGTCTCGCGAGGAGATCTCTCGTCCGAGTGCGACCGCGCGCGGCCGCCGCCACGCACGCGGAAGTGGTCGGCGGAAGGTCCGCCGCGCGCAGGCGGCGGAACACCTGTGGCGGCCGCGGAACCGGCTGCGGCGGAAAGTATCTTGCGCGCGGTCGCCGCGGCATTTTTCCCGCCGTGGTGGCCGAAGCGCAAGAGGGGGAAGCAACCGCCGGCAACGTCCCCGCCAAGGCTGCTGTCGTCAGACGAGTAACCGCCTCCGCCGGCGGCGGAACCGCTTTCCGCGGAGGCGGCGCTGCTTTCCGCTGCGGCCGCGACTGACTCCCGATGATCCTTTGCGCCTTCGCCGCCTGAGATTCCGTTTGCGCGTTCCTTCACGCTGCGGCTTCCGCCTACCACGCTTGCGCCGCCTTCCTTGTCCCTTGCGCTTTCCGCCGGGCGTCCGCGGATCGCAGGCTCTGAGGCGGAAGCCGTCGCCAGCGCTTCGTCGCGCCACTCCACGTCCATCTCGAGCGACGACGCGGCTTTCCGCCGAACAGCTTCCGCGTTCGGGCTGCGCACGGCGGCGGAAGCCGTCACCACCGCCGCAAAACCGGCGCCGCCTCCGCGGGGGGATTCTTCCCGAACCACGAGACCAGGCACCGTTAGTTCGCGCGCCTTCCGCGGAACGACGTCCCCAGCGGCGACGTGCGGGTTGCGCGGTGCGGCTTCGAAAAGCAGTGGCGGAAGCCCGGGGGACGCCGCCGCGCCGATCTCCGCCGCTGACGATGGCGTCGTGCGCATGGTTCCGATCTCGATGCAGCATTCAGCGGTGCGAGGACGCGACGGCGCCGCGCCACTGGTGCCAGATCGACGGATAATATCGCCGCCGCTTCTGTCGGTGTGGTGACGGGATGGAGTCGGCGAGTTCATCGCGCCGCCGCCCAAGTCGCCCATGCAGGAACGGCAGATGTCGGGGTGGGGTACGGTATCACCCGCAGAAGAAGATCGGCTCTGGGTCGCATTATTACGTTTCGGAGTCATGACGTCACTTGTACTTTTAGCAGTTGGGGTAGCAGTACCATCACTAGCGGTGACGTCACCCATCGCAGGGACCATGATGATCATGATGGCGATGATGCTCTTCTCGCCGAGTAGTAGTACTATCCCTCGGTCGTTCGTAGCAGCTCGAAGTGACGCCGCGGCTGTTAGCAACGCCGATGCTAGAAGTAAGGAGTTCGCGACGCCGAGGAGCGACTCCAAGGCGCGCGGCGCCGGGTGTCACGGGCCGCGCGGCGTGCGCCGAAGTGTGATGATGCGCGAGCTAGACCCAAGTCAAAAGCTTGAGCCACCTCGCGGCATGATGACGATGGGTGACAGGCCCTCTTCTCGGAAGAAAGACGGCGGCTCGGCTGAAACCCAGTTCAGCATGGCACGAGAACTTCTCGCAGACAGATCGGATCTAGTAATAGTACTGCGAGCGGCACTGGCTGCTGGGTAGTAAGGTGCATTCTGTGTGGGCCCGTCCGCAGATATCTCCATGAGATGCTGCAGGAGAAACCTGAGGTAAATAGTCGACGACGGTAGCACGGGGGTACTCCCGCGGGAGCTGCACGCTCGGCTACGCCGGTAGCAGGGGGGAGGAATTTCGCGCCAGGGGGGATAATTCTCGCGATTCTCGCGCCACGGAGGATTATTTTCGCGCCAGCTGCAGGCTCGCCTCTGCTCGCCGCCGATAGACATGTCGATCGCTGTAGGGGGAGTCATGGTGGGCGGACGGGATTGGCCGGTTGCTACGCTGACGAATGACACCCTTGCATGCGACGATTAAACGGATGCGCGGGGGACTGCGAACTGTACAGTACTTATACAGTAGATACTCTACGATACTACGCGGAGCAAATGCAGCGGCGACTTGATAAATTTTCACGTTGGTCGTGGTAGCTGTTTCGTACGGGACACTGGCTGCGAGACAAGCGTGACATTCTTGTTCTTGAGGGGGCGGTAGAAGGAAGAACAAGAGGGAGAGAGTGAGGAGAGGACGAGAAGGTGCGAGCGAGAGCGACGGAATGGTCTCAGAGAATGAACGAGGATGGATTAGGGTTAGATCGCCCGTAACTTGGGATGAGCGAAGGCTGACGGAAGCTAGCAAGAGATGAGACACTCACCTGCAGAGACGGAAGTGTGGCGGCAACAGCGACGAACACACGGTCGACAGGCGAGCGGATAGACAAAGAAGGCTTTCCTTTGAGTAATTAGCTTTCGCGGGGGTACTACTAGCGACCCTACGCTTTCTAGGGAACTACATCGCTAGTTGCGGGCACTTTCCGCCCCTCCGTCCATCCGACAGCACAACAGCACAGAACTCGGCTCCAAATACACCCACGTGTCACATTCGCAAGCCACTGGAAAAACCTGATCGAAAAAAAAAAAACTAAAACCCATTCGGGAAGGGATGACAATGACAATGCTCTCCGCCTCACGGCAGCCATGGATTCTACCGAGACCCTGGAACTCGCCAATGTACCACCTATTGTACGACATTCCCGCTAATAACATAACCATAGAGATCGTCTTCTCTCAGGGTACCAGAGGATATTTTTTAAATGTTCAAACAGAGAACATTCGTCCCTATCCCCTGAAGACGAGCAGAAGTCATGGTTTCGGGATTTCCGTGCGAGGTTATTTCAACATGGCATTTCCAATGTTCCAAGCTACTTTCAAGGCTTCCATCAGGCATCAGCATGCAGACATTGCTACAACTACAAAGGACGTCCAGTTCGTGCTCAGTTTTTATTATTCTCAAGTACTGCACTGGCTCTGGTGGCTGTTCTATCATCATTGCACGATGGCTCCTCGAGTTAAGAAGGCTGCTGCTGCTGCTGCTGTCACCGCGGTTACCGCTGCTGCTGCGGCTGCTGCCTCGTCCACTGCTGGGGTTCCGCTGGTTTCTGCTACCTCTTCTGCTCCGCCGGCGACGACTCCAGCCAAGCCGAAGTCCATGTCGAGACTTCCTCTTAAGTCCGCTACCGCCATGAAGGCGTCCAAGGGACCCTTTCAGCCTGATGAATCTGAAGCTCTTACCCTCTCGGCGAAGCTCGCAGCCATCCGCATTGAGGAAGCTGCGAATGATAGCAAGAAGTGTAAGGAGAAAGTCATTTTCAAAGATGCTGTTTCTGACGCTGCACCAGAAGGAGAAGATGTTTCTCATGACGACGATGAGGACAATGTTTCACGCGACAATGCTGACGATGGCTCGGGACCATCGGGGGTTACCCACCTGCTTAACGATGAGGACGACGGGCTTATTGCCTATGATTCTGACGAAGAGGTCGAGGAAGCGTCAAAGGGAGAGATCGCGTCACGTTCCCGCTACCCGATCACCCTTCTGATCCCTGAAGAGTTTTTGTTGGAAGTACCTCGCACACAGGCAACGATCAAGGGATTGGTGGGGATTTGGAAGGATGAGCTGTCTGATGGGGCCCAGGTCACCACGACGTACCAGCAGCTGACGTCCGGTTTCCTGTACAAGAAGTATTACGGTCGCATGCAAGTTACTTTTGACAAGGCATCTGACGCAAATTTTGTGTGGCGTAATCAGGTCGAACATAAGTGCAAGAATGGGATTTACGTTACCTTTGACTGGCAGTATCCGGAAGATCCCGCTTTCGCCAGGCAGAAGGCGACGAACCCTGCAGTGATTGAGCTCTATTTCAAGGAGGTCCCTGCTGAGATCTCACCTGCAATGCTGCATGGGATGCTGATGGCTCCGCTCAAGAAGAAGAAGAAGTCGGTGTTTAAGAAAGGTCTTTGCTTTCATCGTGCGGTCAACTCGGTGACTGGCTTGGATACGGATCGGATCAAGGGACTGGTGGTTGCTCACGAGGGTGATCTGTACCAGTGGAAGCACTACATTGAAAGTCCGCTCAACAAGGACGAGATTCTGCTGATCCACTACCCGGCGTTGAAGTGCAGTCTGTGCGGTGGTCATCACTCGATCCACAACCACAACGACTTCGTCGTCGAGCGTCACAACAACATCACCAAATGGCACCTTACCATTGGGAGGGTCCATGAGCTGAATGGTAGCTGCGTTGTTTGCGTTGTCGCTGATGGAATTTCGCGCGTTTCACTGTCGTTTTCCACTTGCCTTTCTTCCCGAGTTCTCACATCGTTGCTGTGCAGCTGCTGCGACCACTGCAAGATTATCCTCAAGGACCCGTCCCTGGTACTTATCTCCACCAGTGGAAATCGGGAGGAGTGGGTTTGTCTTCAGGACAGTTGCGAGAAAGCTCATGGTTCGTCGTTCGAACAGGCAGCGCATCACGCGTTGTCCCAGCGGCACCGCCATGGGGCCCCGAAAGGTGGAGAGTCACTCCGGTTGTTGAAGGGGAAGATCAACCTCAAGCACCTGAAGAAGGATTATGGGTTGTAGAAGGAGGAAGGAGAGGCGAAAGCTGCATGTTAGTATCCCCTGTGTTTGTACTGTTCCTTTATAAAACTGTGGTTCGTGTCTCACTCAGCCCGTGGATGCTTGGGGCTTCTCGGCGGTTTCCCAATGAATAAAGCTTCTTACCTGTCGATACGCGAGCTCAATGTCAACGGGCTCGGGAGCAGAGGGAAGCAGAAGCATCTGAAGGCATGGCTAAAGAAACCACCTGATATCTTCGTTTTGGCTGACACATGGGTTGGTGCTGACCACGATTTCTGGAAGAAGCTCAAAGTCCCCCATTGTCATGCGATCGGTCCTGCGGGGAAGGCAGGAGGGGTTGCCATCTTAAGTTTCAACAAGTCTCTTGTTTTCACTAACATTGTCACTCACAGCTCGGGTCGTTTGCTTCAGGCTGATGTTCAGTGGGACTCTTTCCACTGCACGATCCTGGCTGCTTACTTTCCTGCGAAAGCTTGCAGGCGTCGCCCGTTTTACGATGGGGTGATTGCTCCTTTTATGGCGCACTCTGTGGGGAGGAGGAATTTTCTTTTGATCGGAGATCTTAACATGGTGGAGGATCCTCTACTGGATAGATCGTCTGGTGCGGGCTCGTCAGGAGAGAATGGCAGCGTGTTGCGGATATGCTCAGCGCACTGCCTCACCGACGCTTTTCGCTGGATGAACCCGGTGCTGAAGGAGTTTACCTTTATGTCTAGGTCTGCCAAGACCAGCTCACGCATTGACCGGGCCCTTGTCTCGGCGCCGCTGTTGACGTCGCTCTCTGAGGCGTCGCACTGTCGGCCGCTGAAGGGTCTCTCAGACCACTGGTTCGGGGTGAAGGTGACCTTCAAAATCAGCCTGCAGTTATGCATGGGGCCTGGAATATGGAGGTGCAAGGCGGCAAAAATTGGAAGGCCGGGTGCGGTGAAAGCGGTTGCTGCGATCTGCGAGGAGCACGGTAAAGCGGGGTCAGGCGATTTCACTGCGCTCATGAGGAAAATGAATATGGCATTGAGGAAGTACTCTGCTGAGGAACGGAAGCGGGTCAAAGCTACCCTGACTCACCTGGATGAGGCGGTTGCGGTTTTGCAGCAGGAGGTGATGAGAAACCCCTACTGCTCCGCCCGGAAAGAGGCGCTGAAGGTCAAGGAGTCCCAGCTGGCGGCATACCTCGCCTCGGAACAGGAGAGGGTCACGCTCATGGCCGGGGTCAAGGAGCTGCGTGAAGGGGATGTCAGAATCCCAACCAGAATCCCAACCACTAGACCATTGGGATAAAAGGGCTTGTTAAGTAGCGGGTCAGTGCGCCCATAACCCCCCAGGACAACGAGCCTGTAACCCTTCCCTAGGATCAATCGGGGATCACCAGTGGACCTCTGACACCCCCCCGCACTGGGATGCCCGAAGTGCACACACTGGGATTCGAACCCGAGACCACTCTGATACCATGTCAGAATCCCAACCACTAGACCATTGGGATAAAAGGGCTTGTTAAGTAGCGGGTCAGTGCGCCCATAACCCCCCAGGACAACGAGCCTGTAACCCTTCCCTAGGATCAATCGGGGATCACCAGTGGACCTCTGACAGGGGAGTTGCCTGGCAAGCTCATGTC